CAAAGATGGCCCTTTTGGGGGGATTTCCATTGTGAGGCAGTGTTTTTCAAACTTTCAAGATTCTCATTACGTTAATTTGCCTCCTTGTGTGTTATGGAAGGTTTTTAGGAGGCATCCCAAATTCCTAATATTTCCCACGCTTGTACAAGGGCTCATTTTTTTCCCTAGTTCCAAGTTCTATCTTCAAACACTGTGCATGTGTAATCTGAATTTAAAAAGTTAATGCTTATATGTCCCTTCACTTTAAAATTAGCCTATATACTATATATGGGTGGCGCAGGGGTTTAAACCGCTGTGCTGCTGGGCTGGTTGATCGAAAGGTCACTGGTCTGCACAATGGAGTGAGTTCCCATTGCTCCGTCCCAGCTCCTGCCAACCTTGCAGTTCGAAAGCATGCAAATGCAAGTAGATAAAAAGGTACCACTTCAGTGGGCAGGTAACAGCATTCCGTGCACTTCGGTGTTTAGTCATGCTGGCCACACGATCACGGAGACCGTCTGCGGGCAAACGCTGGCTCCCTTGGCTAGGAAATGGAGTTGAGCACCGCTCCCTAGAGTCAGGCATGACTGGACTTAATGTCAAGGGGAAACCTTTACCTTTCTATATATAATTCAATAATTAGGGTTATTCATCTAGGATCTTTTGTCCAGTTATCTGTGACCAATTTTAGGAAGGATGTTGACAAATTAGAGTGGGTCCAGCGGAGGGTAGAAAGTAAATCCTGTGAAGAACATTTGAAAGAGCTGCATATGTTTACCCAGGAGAAGATTAAGACTGCATGGAACAGACTTGGTTCCTGTTGCTTGAGAGATGATGACAAGAATTAATGGGTGAAAAATTGAAGTAAACAGCAGTATCCAGTACGTATGCTGTGCTTCTGCTGTTTCTGTTGACCTTGCAAGATCCACTGCATGTGTGACAGCTACCAGCACTTCTGACATCAAGCTCAAAAATGAGCAGGCTCTTTCTGTAAGCTCCAGTGACCTGCTTTGTTTTGGAAATAAGCTTTCAGCTTGTTTCTGATTGCGATAGGATCCACTGGTTTCCAGTTGCACTAGTGGTGAGCCCCACTGCAGTGGTGGCTCCCATTGGACCCTTCCCAGTAAGAATTGTGTAATAGTTGAACAAATTGTTTTGGGAGATGGAGGTCTTTTCTTTGCTGAAGGTATCTAAACAGAAGCTATCTTCCAAGGACATTGTAGCTGCAAATTCTTGTACTGAGCAAAGGGTAGGATAGATAACTTTTACGTTACCATCCAGCTCTAAAATTCAGTAATTTTACGTACTACTGCTCATTTTCCAAATTGCATGTATTTATTAAATTTGTATGCTGGCTCATGTGGCAGATGCTGTCAGGACACTTTACAATTATGAAACCAAATAGCGACAAGAACAAAGTAATGAATAATACAATATCAAACATTAAAAATGTTTTCCAAAACACTGAGGAGCCTTTAGTAAAATTAATAACCAAGCTACAGACTAGAGAAGTATTAAATGACTTCTTAAAGTGTATGGTCTTAACGTGGCATCTAAAGGTATACAATGGAGGCACCAGGTGGATGTCCTTGGGAAGAGCATTCAGCAAACAGGAGATCATTACAGAGAAGGCTTGGTACGTTTGTGGATTAAATCCTGTGGCATGTGCTTGTAAGTGGAGGTTACTGTGCCAGTTCAGATTATATGCTCACCAGGTGGGTTCACATGTAATGACTGCCCATTATGGTGTTCTTCCCTTCCATGCTGGGTTGGTAGAACCCCTGAAATACCCCTGATGAATCCAACAGATGACCGGGTTCACAGTGGAAGCTTCACTCGCTCCTGTCTGTGTTCCTCCAGGTGTGGGGAAGAATGAGTGTTTGACAGCTTTTGAGATTTTGACTCCCTGTGGTTCTCATTTCACTCCTAGTGAAGTCCCCCTGTCATGAGGTAGCCACTTATGTGGGAGATGAAGATGACATTTCTGCTCCTCACTGACTCTGATTATGCAGACTGAAGTTCAGGGAAGCTTCTGAAAACCACCTGAAGTGCAGGAAAGGACAAGCAACTAGTTGCATGTTTTGGTTGATTGACCCCCAACATTACATCACTACATATTCTTCTGTGAATCAACTATCTTAAGGTGGCATTGTAGAGATCACTTGGAAAATGCATGATCAAATCACCCTCAGACCAATGAATGGATTTTAATTTCGCTTTTTGAGAGCCCGCATAGAAATATCTGCATTGTAGAATTGATTGATCGATCGATCGATTGATTTATATCCTGCCTTTTTCCTACAAAGGGCTCAAGGCAGCTTACTTCTCCTCCTCCTCCATCTTATCCCCACAATAACAACCCTGTGAGGTAGGTTGGGCTGAGAGTCTGTGACTGGCCCAAAGTTACCCAGTTGGCTCCATGGCTGAGCGGGGATTAGAACCCAGATCATCTGAGTTCCAGTCCCATGCTCTTAACCACTATACCACACTGGCTCTGTATTTTGTATTCTGTAAAAATACAGAATCCTGTATTTTTCTTTTTGTTGTTGGCCAAAGAGTCAGCACTTTTACACCCTGGAGGCTCAAGGGTAACACCCAAGTGAAAGCTGATTTGGTGAGTTAATGCAGGATTAGTAAGATATAGTAAGTTTGTTTGCTGTTTCATTTTATTTTTAAAAGTGACTGACTTTCTCAATATGTATCTGCTTGTTTTTTTAATACATTGAAATAGAAACTGGAGTTGATTTGATTGTTCTGACTAGCTTAGAAGTTGTCCTACCCATATGCTGGACTGTTTGGCAAACTTGCTAACTAGGTTGGTAAGGGATTAAAGAAAATTCTGGAAAAGGCCCCTCCATATATAAAAAACCTTAAGCCCTTCTTCCATGGGCCAGATGAACCTTATTGTCATCATTACATTTACATTCCAGTTTTCCTGTTGCAAGGAACCCAGAATAGTTTACAGGGTTCTCCTCCTCTCCATTTTATTCTTACAACCTTCATGTGAGGTAGGTTAGACTGAGGCAGTGACTGTCCCAAAATTACCTGGTGAGTTTCATAGCTGAACCCAGATCTTTAACTACAGTACCACCCTGGCTCTCCAAAAAAAGGACATGAAATGTTAGTGCCACTACTTCTACCACTGAAAGGAAATGAGTGTTGCAACTTTCCTGCAGATGTATTGGTTTGCACAAACGATATGCCACTTTGTAATTTTGCATATCTTTGTATGTGCTATGAAGCACTGTCCATATTTGTGTGTTTGTGTGTCAAGTGCTGTTGCTTGTATTTACCTCTGAAGTGTGGCTGTATGTTTTTATCAATTTTCAAGTGAAGAGCCACACCACAAGATTTAGTTTGTGTGCAAATTGTTTGTGTGTTTGTGCATGAAGCGCTGCTGCATATATTTGGGTGGTGTGCCCACTGCATGTTGCATGCCACTGCATGTATTTATTTGTATATGTATGTGAATACACTTACATATAAATTTATATATGACTTCACTTGGTGTTCATTCTCTGACTTGACTCACTTGATATGACTTGATGTGCTCTGTAATATAAGGTTAGGGAATCTTTCTAACAGCAGAACCTTGATACAGACCTAGCTGGCCAGGAGTCTATCCCTTGTCATTTCTTGGAGGGGGTCTTAATAACAGAAGGGAAGTACGAGTAAACCATCTTGCTTTTATTATCTCTTTTCTATGAGTTTCCTAATAAAGTTCTTTCACTTTTACCCAGAAGTATGTTTGTCTCTGGCCCCAAAAAAGAACCACTGCCACTGGCGGAACATAAGAACAGATAGCATTGTATGCCTGTACAATTCTTGAACCTTTTGGACACAATGGCTTGGATTTTAAGTCATGTGAGTTGAAGGATGTTTACACAAAGAAACTTTCCCATCCTCCAGTTCTATGGGCCCTCACAAAAAGCCTCTCAGGAGGCCTAGGGGAAGCTTCTGTGCTGTGTGAGATGAGGCATAGCAGATGTTGAGGGAGAGGTAGAACTGCCCCAAATCAGGCAAAGCCACTTTCTTTGGATGGAACTGATTTTGGACAATCAGCCTATCCCCCAGTATCCCCTATGTCCCATTTCAGGAGGGTTCCTGACCCTTTGGAAAGTATTGGTGTTCTGGTCAGATGATCAGGCGGTCAGTGCTAGGCAAGAGTTTCTAGATCTATTTCACTTTGATTTCAGGCCTGTTTGGGAACAAAAAGTCCCCCAGACGTCCTGATATCTGGTCTATACTGGGAGAGTAAATGGAGAGTGCAACCTCATTAAATCTCCTGGAACAGTTAGTGGCTTCTGATGCATTAATTATTACACCCACTCTTATCAAGAGGTGATGGTTTTCTGAATTGGTCCCAACAGATTAGGACTGCCCGACAATAAACCAGATGGCTGATTTATATAATCCTTTTTATATATACTTTTTAATTTTTGTAAGCTGTTTTTCACACCTTGGAAATACGTTGAATAAATGAGAGGGGCTTTCATGGTTTAATCAATAGCAACTTGGTTGGATAGGTAATATAAAATTATTTAAACCTAAAGTTTTGCCAAGATGCAATAAGCCAACATTCTACCATGAGCTGAACCGTCACAAGACAAGGGCTGGTTATAGTGATGAACTTCTTAGGAATTTTGTTTTTCATAATGGAAATGTTAACTACTGCTACAGCCTTGAGTTTCCAAGAGCTGCGCAGGGCTGTTCAGGACAGGACATTTTGGAGGGCATTCCTTCATAGGGCTGCCATAAGTTGGAGATGACCTGACTGAATGTAACACCTGTGATACTTTATAGGATGAACTTTCTTACAAGTCCTACTTGAACACAGTAACTCTTAATTTAACATAGGCTTTTGCTCTCTATTTTTTCCATTTAATTAAGCTTCAGATAAATGGAATGCGTGCTATTTTTTATCATTTTGGACAGAAAAGCAAGGCTGAGCAAAGTTTGATCGGACACAATGACTGATTTCCTAGGAAAAAAATAAGGCAAACCTTGTTGAGGCCAGTAACCAGCTTAAAGTCGGGGGAGGGGGTTGCCAAAAAAGTAGTGGAAAGGGCAATTCATCAGTTTTGCGGGCCTTTTAAGGAAACTTTAACAAAGTTTAGGAAGGCGAGGGAAAATTTTGAGCTGTAGTGTGTGAGAATGGACCTCCTCACACACTACAGCCCCTGCATCGTCAATAGTAGGGCATTTTCCCTCTCTTGTTAGATAGAAATCCTGAGATATGAAGAATTCATACAAGTATGGACAAGTGTTAGATCTGAACATTTTCAATACAAATACGGAACTAAGATACTGAAATGGGGGGACAAGAAACCAAGTGATGGGGGATTATGGCAGCACATTTACAGTCCATCTCACCTGAGCCTGGGAATTTATAATGAGAGTATAGATAAGAAATACCTTAGAAGATGAAAAGGGAACTTGTTTTCCTAAGATGTAGACGTGTAAATAAGATGAACATTACTTAGCAGAGAAACGGGCAGAGAAAGGCAAAAAGAAGCGTGGGTCTCGTTTTGTTTGCCGTACTGAAAGTTATGCTTCAGAGACGTCTCCCTTGGCTGAAAATCGGGCAGCGGGGACAGTCGGCTCTACCGAGAGGAGCCACCTTAAGGCGGGGAGGCGGGGGTGGCGCGGCCTGGAGGGAGCCGGGGGAGGCGGAGCGCAGGCTGGGGAGGAGCTGGGGCCTGCAGTAGAGCCGCAGCCTGGAGCACACGGAGCAAGCATCAGCGGCAGGATAAGGAAGACGAGTGGGGCCTGCAGAGGGTCTGCTGCGCCGTGCCGCCGCTCCCCCGCCCCCGCCTCGCACCGTTCAGGAGCCCTCCGGGAGCGGCTCAAGCCCGGACAGCAGCGGCGCCGGCGGCGGAGCGCGCCGAGGCCCAGAAGCCGCCGCGGCCTCCTGTGGCAGCCGGGTCAGGAGGAGAGCGCCCCCCCCCCCCCCGCGTCCTGCCCCTTTCGTCAAGGGAGTCGACTCCGCAATCCGATCCCAAGATTGTGCCATCCCGTTAGGGGGAAGATTCCCTCTTTCTAACACATATCTAGGGCTACTCTCGGAGGAGCCTTCTATTGCCCTGGGTCTTAAATTTACCCCCCACCCCCGGCCAAGGACAGTACGCACAACTAGGCCTTGCTGGTCAGTTGTACACTCCCACAAGTTTTGACCCCCGGTCTTAACCCGCGAGCTATACCTAGGCTTTAAAGGCAACTCAATAAGGAGCTCCGGTAGTAAAAGAGAGATTATAGCGGCCACCAGAGTAAAGGAAAGGACTCAGATATTCCACCCTCAATTAAACCATCCCCTCGACACTAAAATAATCCAGTAACTCATTGGTGCCTATTTATTATTGGTGCCTACAAGGAGACTCATTGGTGCCTACAAGGAGACAACTAATTCCCACTAGTTTGTTACCACTGAAACTATAAATATATCGTAAACCTATTTAAGTAGGAGCATTTCTCCTTGTACAGACGACTCCCCCTTTTAAAGAGATTGTCTTCAAATACCTATTGAACAGGCAGCCCTGAAGTTGAAAGAAAATAATATCAATTAGCTGGCAAAAAGGAAGAGAACTAAATAAAGATATCCCTCATAAAATAAAAGAAGATGCTTGTTTCCCAAACTGTCAGAAAGTGGGGTAGTTAGCTGAAGAAAAGGCACTCCTAAATATAAAAAGTGAAAGTTGTTCGTATTAACAATTGTGGGGATACAGGGTTAAGGTGAAATCACTGAAGTAACAGCTTACCCAGCTGGTAAGAAACGAATAAACTTTGAAGTCCCAAGTTTTTGAAACCCAAAGCAGATCTCTCTTCCTCTCAGTATCATTGGCAAGTTCCTTCTAAGGGAATCTCAGAGGAAAAAGGGAAAAAAACCCACAGCAGCAGCACTTTGAGAATGGGGTCTGTGTGTAAAGTGTGAAGGACATCTCTCAAAGAAAAAGAAGTCAAGAGATACCAGCTGCAGAAAATCTTATTGTGAGTGACAATACTATATCACATATCTCCCCTTGTCTTATTTTCTCTTCTGTCTACTCACCTGCACTATTTCTCTGTATAATCCCCCCTTGGTCTTCCTCTGAAATGCTTTCTCTCTGTATGTTTTATATCTTCATTTTTAGAATTTGTTGCATTGTTTATGCATTGGCTTGATTGTTTTTCCATTGGTAAACTGTGTCCCTAAAGCAGCTGTAAAAGGCCTTGTTTGTAATCTTTTCTATGTGGAAGGGGAAAAATTCAGGAACCAATAGGGACAGGATCATAAAGTTAAAGGGCAGGTTGTTGGAGTATGTGTGCTTAATTAGTTGAGAGGTATCATAATAATTAATTCAACTGTACTTGAATTCCATTATACTTTGCATGCAAAATACTATGCATGCTGAACTCTGTGTGTGACTTAAATTTCAGATGATCAGACTGCATATTAAGTATCTGGACTATGAATCATCTTGTATTTTGTATTTTAAGTCAGTTGTTGATTTCCCCACTCTTTCAAAGGAATGGAATTTGATTCTGAGTGACATCCCTTCTTGGTTAATATAGGACAAAAATGTATATAACATGCCATTGGCTTGATTCAAACTCAATGCGTCTGAAGGCCAAGATTCATTCTATCATTGGTGTCCTTGATTTGCTCTACCTGTATTATTGAAGAACTGCAGACAAAGTTTGCTGCCATTAATTTGGAATGGAATGGTTAAATCTTGCGACATGAAAACCTTTTGAGCATAGCACATAACAACTGATGCATGGCATGTACTGGTACAAAACTGAAGTCTAAGGACTGACTACTTCAAGTAGTGATACATAGATGCCTTTGACAGCAATCAATTTAAGAATGAATACATTCCAGTTGTACTACTGATACTTAACTCCAATCAACTTTGATAAAGACAATTACAAGGAAATTCAGGATCACAAGAGGCCTTATCATAGCTATGGAGAGATAAGTCTGCTACAGACAAATGAGTGTGTATAGTTTTTTAGAACAGAAAAAGAAACTACAGAAAATACATAAGAGAGGAGTTGTGAGATAAATACAGGATGTAAATAATATGTTAACATTGTCTGGTCATATAAAATTAATTTCCCACTCTTGATAATTGAGATATCATTAAATAATCAATTGTAAACATTTTGACAAACTAAAAAAAGTTACTGCACTTAATAGAGCATCCAGTTTTAGAAAAATATGCCTTTTTAGTTCATGTGCTTATAAAAAAATTGGTCCAGATGACAAAAAGAGATTCAATTCCAGTGAAAAGGGGGGATGCCTTTCAAGATGTTTGCTGCAATGCATACATGCATTATCTAAAAACAAAGAAAATATACTTTTCCCTTTAGAACAACTACTTTTTCTCATGTGCAAATTTCTACAGATTTAAACTATAATCCTATACTTAGCTATAAATATTGTAGGTTTTAAGTGTTGTAAGAATCTTATAAGTACTGTACTTATACCTAGTGGGCTTTGAGTATATATGATTAATCAATTCAAATATACAGTTAGTTGACTAAGGATTCAATCTTACGGGGCCATGGGACAGTCAGACAGGCCATAGGACAGTCTGGATTTCCCCCTTCAAGGATGGACACTGTGCTCTGACCTCAAAAGATTAAGTTGCCGATCCAACTGCTCCCAGCCCCTTGCAGCTGAAATGAATAGAACTGTGCTGACTGCCCTATGAGGTTGAAAAAGTGATCTCAGAGGAGCAGAGGGGTTCTAGTGAGAGAAGGCCAGAGATGCCAGGATATGAATTAGTGTGAGCTCTTTCTAGCACCCTTCCCTCCCTCTCTGAAACTAGAGTTTGTGGTAGGACAGGGAGGCAAAGATCCTCCTCCCTTGCATTGGATGATTGGAAACTTCTGAGTTCAGGGTGTACTGCGTACTGCACAGTAATTGTGGTACATTTTTGTTTAACTGTTGATGTAGTATTCCAGTTGTCAAAGTACACTTTTCTGAAGATCTCAGATTTGTAAAATATGGTTCATGAATTTCTGTGAAGGAATTAAAACAAGAATTTATGTATTGCAAAGTTGGGGTTAAGAGGTGAATTTCTCCTACCTTTATAGTTAATTTATCTTCCTAAGCTTTAGTGTCAGTAACTTCTTGACCTAATGGATATAGGATGGGAGGACAGAGAGGCTGAACTTAAGTCTTATAGGAAGGAAAAGTTGACCATGACAAGCGGATTAGAAGCTGTTTTGTTGGTGAAGTATAGATTAACGATTGGTGAATGTATATATATTTCCATATCCTTCTCCATTGTCACCCTCCCAAAGTTTAATAGATTTATTTTATTGATTTTGCCTATTAAATACTTGCAGAAATGACAGTGATGGACAGCCTATAAATCCCCTAAATAAAATAAATAAATAAGGCTGAAACCTGGGTTGTTCAGGAGAATCATTTTATGGTTTATATTTGTTAAATACTACAGTATGTGAAGCTGTTCATAACATTCTGACATACCAGCCAGAAGAACCTGATGCCATAAGGGTGGTCGTGTACAAACTGAGATATTCTAAAATCCAGAGAAAGGAAGGTTAGTGGAAATGGTTATATTTTATATTTGTAGAAATCATTTGAGGATTACCACTGCCTGCAGTTTTGGTGGATTCCATTTGGTGGAATGGTTCACTTGTAAACAAAAGGTGGAAAGAGGGATGGAAGGTTCACACCATTTTACAGTGTACTTCCTTGTGAGTGTTCATGTTTAGTAATTTGAAAATCAGCCCATTTGTCAGAATGGCAGGCTATAGATTTAAGAAAACATTTAAAGTTTTGTGGATTGAATTTCTTGTATCCTCAGCTATCTAATTTCAATGTAGTGCAAAACATGATTAACTCTCAAGTTTGGGGTGCTGTCTGCACAACCTTATGCATGGTTACTCAGAAGTAGGTCCTATTCTCTTAACAGGGACTTCATAAGTTTGCTAAGATTGAACCTCAGGTATCTCAGGACACAAGAGCACATGTTGGCTGAGAGTGCTGAGAGTTGTTGGACATGCATTGGATTGTGCCCTAAAATGATTCAGGAGCAATTTATAGATGCAGAGGAAATTGCATTAGCACAACTGAAAGATTAGTGGAGATTAAATTACAGGCAATCCCCAAGTTACGAACATCTGCATTATGATCAATCCATACTTACAAACTGCCACAATGCTTATTAATTTGTGAATTACTGCAGAAAATCATCATCACCTTAGAGAGAGAGGAAGTGAAAGGGGAGAGAGGAAGGGTCGCCAAAGCATCACCATAGAAAGAGAGGAAGCGAAAGGGGAGAGGAGGCTTTCAAGGCATGCCATCCTGCCCTGCCCATTCAGAGAGAGAAATCTACCTGGCATTACCTTGCTACAAAGAGGCGGCACTGGTGAGTTGGGATGGAGATTAGAGATATTTGGGCTTTTCCACTTTCAAAGGGGTCCTGTGTACTTAATCCCTGCAAATGTGGAGGGTCAGCTATAAAGATGAATTTCTGTTTTTGCAGAATCAGAACTTCTTAATAACTTGGGGCCTGTGGTTCTTTGCGTCTTTCTGTAAATAGGAATTTTGGGCAATGTGCCCAAGATAAACATAAAAGTAAATATCACATTGAACTGAAAAACAATATGAAGAATCTGAAAATTAATAATTTGGAATCTGTTTGTGGTTACTTCTGTTTCTTGTGAAAATTGCTTTATGCAGGGGAATATTTGACATCAGTTTTTAATGGAATTTTGTCTAGTATATCCTTTAGAGTGGTAGTTTTCTTACCTTCTGCTATGAGGGTTTTGTAAGAATAATTTAATTTTTAATCAGAATTTGCTAGGATTTAATAAGGCTTTTCTGAAGCACATGTGAATTAATATTTATTCATTAGACAAATTTGTATATTGCTTTCCAATAAAATAATGAAAGAAATTACCATAATAACAAATAATAAAATACAATAAAATAATCAGTGTTCTACAGTAAAGCTATAACTTTACTAGCTGAATCATACTTTAGGGTACATAAAGAGGTAAACCTTAAATCAAAATTGTAGATGTCTGCCTAATGTCAGTGGAGAGTTTATTCCAGAGAGTGAATGCTGCAACACTAAATTTTGTACTGCAAGTAGTTCTGAGATCCTTCTGAGCATGTGGCATGCTCAAGACTGGGCAGAGACATGTGGGGCAAGGCAACACTAATAAATAAGAGTGTCTTTGGTCTTTGCCCAGTCACTGTTGAGTAGCCAAAACTAGTTCCTACAAGTTAGAGACTTCAAGGTCAGATGCTATCACCTCTAAGCAGGCTTGAGCTTTGGTACCTTATTTCAAAAGTTAATGGCTGTTTCTAGCAAGTTAGCTTTAGGCTCAAAGGGGAATATATTGGTGATGGTGCAGGGTTAGTTCTGTCTGAAGAACAGGAGTTAGATCATATGTTAGCACTGAGGGCAATTCCTTTCTACATTATGTATTTGTCAGAATCTTTAAACTTAGTCTGAACTTCATTATGTAAAGAAAGCTTTAACAAAACTGTCAGTAGTTCTGAATGCTATTGACATCCTGCACACCTGTGCAAAGGTCTTTGACAATCTTGGGGATTCATGGCTGAAACTGCAGGAATCCCATTGTACTGATGTGATATCTTAGGGAAGATGATTGCAATCCATAAAGATAGAGAATGGAATGCAGCTACATTTCACAGTTTGGTAGACTTACCAGTGTTTTGTTCCAGGAAAAAAATGTTCTAGGGAAGGGACAAAGCCAGGATAGAAACAAGCAGACAAGATGTGGGGTCCAGCAGTGCCTGAAATTCACAGATTTTTCAGTTGCAGCTATGGGTGTTTGATGGAGCTTGTGTTTACTAGCTGGACTTGCAAAATATTGGCTAGTTGGCTACTTATTGCTCATGGATTGGATCATCTCTTATTTTGTAGTAAGTAATGTACTTCTCCCACCACCAGACCTTCAGGCAGGGTTTCATGTGTGTTGTATTTCAGCCTTCCTGC